CATCACCTGTAGGAGGCATGTGATCCGGCCCTTTTCCAGTTCCTTGTAGGAGAATACTTCAGTTTTATCTTTGTTTTATGAGCTCTTTTTCAGGTTCTTTTATGGTGGGCGGACCTCCTCCCAGACGCCATCCGGTGCTCCAAGCGCAGTCCAAAACTTCCCGCGTCAGTCAGAAGATGCCCCGTCAGCATTTGGGAGCCGTCCATGGGCAAGCGCATTCCAGCACGGACATGAAAAGGATTAACAATAAAACGTTATTGACCATATTAAGTGAATAGATAATTCACAATAAAATGCTGTCATCCTATTAAAGCAGTATTATATTGTTGCAGAACTCTCAGAGCTCCAGCTGTGGGCGGGATAGTAACAGAATAAATAGCAATAAATACTAGTGTGCATTCTTGCAGGCCTGACTTAGCCAGCGGCGGCAGTGGAGGGAGCTGCAACCGTCAGTCCTGCACTTCACTCAGGGCTAGGCTATGGCAGAAAGAATTCTCCTTCATCTTCTTCCTGGCATTGTGGTAATCCCAGGACCAAGGTTTTGGCCCTTGCGACGGGGTTTCCGCAGCGCTTAGGGAGTGAGTGACGTGCCCAGGAGCTCCAGACACGAGCCATTTCTGGCGCACGCCGATCCCCCTTGCCAGCGTCTTCAGGGGCGCATGCGATGCTGCCTCCCCGCAGCGCCTCTCCAAAAGCTGCCGGCGACTGCGATTTTCCGGACTCCTGCGCGTTGCTTGGTCAGGTCGCCCTTGCAAAGCACCTGGATGGTCGCGTTCTGCTAGTGGGCTCCATCGCTTGCCTGCGCACCAGTGGGAGAGGCCCGTCCTTTGCTGTCCCGAATCTTCCATTGCTCCTTTCTGGATTTCTCCTGGCTGTGCGAGCAAAGTTGGGGCGTTCTTGGTGGTGGGAGACGGGGAAGGGGAGCCCCTTTGCAGGGGACGGGTGCCTGGTACCATGCCCTGCATCTACGCGAAATAAACCCGGGTCTCGATGCAACCAGATGTCCACCTACATCCGTTGCAGTCTGAATGTCACTCTGCCACGGCTCAGAGAGCACGGCTGGGGCAGAAACCCTGCTGGGGGGCCATGGCGAAGGGGGGCAGCAGAGCTGTGGCTTCCAGCCACTGGGCCCCCCTCCCTAGGTGTTTCAAGGCAGAGTTTATGCAGGAAGCCCCCTGAAACCAGAATGCAAGAGGCCCTGACATCCATCAGGCCCTGAAATTCACGGGATGGCTCTTCTCCTTCTTGCGAGCCGGTCCTGGCACACAGCCGCCCCCGGGAAGGAATCCGCGCCAAGCGCCAGCGCTGTGCAGACGCTCCCTTCGTGCCTGGCCTCCCTCTGCCTGCAGCCACCTCCCCTTGCCCGCCGGCCTCCGTCTTTCTCCCGCTCCTGTCACTGCTGCCCCACCACCCGGCAGCTTTTATTCTGTCTAAATGTGCATGGGATCGTTACCCGCCCCCCACCGCTCCCCCGTCTGTTCCTCCTTAATGTAATTTTTGTGGAAGGAAACTAAAAAGGGATGAAGTGGTCCAGAAAACCCAAAAAGGCCAAGGTGCAAGACATGCCCATGTGATTCTGCAGTCAAGACCACTGGCAACCATCCTTACGTCCCTCTCCTCCTGCTGCTCAAAATCTCATGCCCACAACAACCCTGCGAGGTAGGCTGGGCCAAGAGGCTGTGACTGGCCCCAAGCCACCCCGCCGGCTCCATGGCTGCGTGGACACTTGAGCCCCGACCCCCGAGTCCCAGCGCCACGGTCCTGCCCACTGCCCCACAGTGGCTCTCAATTTATCGCGCTGCTAAACCTCCCCGCTGCCAAAGCTTCTCCGGAAAGCCCACAGCAATATATTCCATACAGTACAGGAATATGATAAACATGATATAAATGTTCAAATTTTAGGACTATGGTAGAACAGCAGAGCAAAATCTTGCCCCCGGCCACCACCCCGGGCTGTGGAAACCCACGTGCTCAGGATTCTGCTTCGAGTCTCTCTCTCCCGTTTTGTTTCTCCTGGATTTCGCTCTTCCCGGGTTTGGGCAGCAAGAAATTCTGCATTTCGCGTTGTCCGTGACTGGACCCTGTCCTGCAAGAGCCTCGCATGCAGCAGCCACCGCCGCGAAGCATCGCACGTTCACGGCAGCGTTTGCAACATCAAACGTTGCCTGGCGCCGTCATTATTTGCTCTTCGGCGCCAGGCGAAGACCTTTATTTAAAAGTTATTTAACTGTTAATTTATTATTATTTCATTATAGATTTTAATATATATTGCCGAGATCGTACCAGGTTTTAAATTATTGATTGTATTTTTATTTTTATTTCGGATGTTGGGAGCCGCCCCGAGGCTTTGTTGCAATGGGGGCGGCATAGAAATGTTTTAAATAAATAAAATAAAATAAAATAAAATAAAATAAAATAAAATAAAATAAAATAACGCCCGGGCGGCTCTGCTGCTCCGCTCTGCGCTCCCCGCCCCGCCCGTGTCGTCACGAGGGCACCGCCTTTCTCCAGTGACGTATTATACGGAAGCGGCGCGCGGCGCGCGAGGCGTGTCGTGCTCCCCTGCCGGGCGTTCGCAGGCTCGCTTTACGGCCGCCTCGTGCGACGCTCCTCCTTTTCCTCTCCTCGCTAAGATGGCGGCGGCCGGGGTGAGCTTGCTTTTGGTGCAGGGGTCGCGTCCCATCCGTTTGCATCCGGCTTCGGAGTGCGGCGGAGGGGCCCGGGTGGTCGGGGACGTGGACGGGAGGGCCTCAGCCCCCCGGGGGGTGGGATATGAGTGGGGAGCGGCGCCTGGGGGCGAGCGGCCGGCGAAGCAGAGGGCCCCGGGTGCGAAGGTGAGGCTGCTCTCGCCTCCCTCTGCCCCGCCCCCTCCGGTCATTCGGTGGAAATTGCCCCGTTGTGGCGCTTAAGGTCCGGTTGAAGAGGGGGAGGACATGACGCCTCCCCCGTTTTAGTAGGGGTTATGGGGCTGGGACGCTTGGGGGGCTGGGGGAGCGCTGGAGGGGCTCCTTGGAGGCTGCCAGCGGGGAACTAGGTTTCATCAGCTTCCCCCCAACCTGGTGCCCCTCCAGGTGCGTTGGACTACAGTACCCACTCCCCCCCCCCCGTTAATTAATTGAGCGGCGAGAGCCCTGGTTTGGTGGCATACTCCAACCCCGCAGCAGAAGGCCCACTGTTGTTGCCCCAGAGCACCCCATGGCCATGTCTGTTGGGGGGCAGTGGGAGGCATCCGCAGGTTGTGGAAGCTGTGCCGAGCATTAAAAGCCAAGCAGCTCCTCTCGAGCTTTGGATGGGGGCCCAGAGGTTGGCCGCGGTAGAGGCATCGCCTGGCCACTGTGGCCCATGCCCCGTGCTTTCTGGGCTGACCTGCGGGGGGAGGGTTCCTGAGAGGGTCTGTCATTGGAGAGAGAGAGTGGGAGTTCCGCTTTGTGAAGTGGGGGGCTTTGGAGGGTCTGTCGAATGCACAGTCATTTCTTAGGGGAGATGGGGAGGGCCCACGGGGTGCGAGCAGATCCCGTGATATGCATGCCAGCGGCTGTCACTGCTGCGAGTCGTATGGTGAGGCCTGGGAAAGACCCACAGCAGGTGGCTAAGCAGTGGAGGCCCAGTTTCTGCATTCTAGAGGGGCTGCTGTGGTTTGACGCACCAGTGGGGGGTCCTCCGGGCTTCAGCGTAGCATTCCTGAGTGCTCTGCTTGGTGGGTGTGGCCCTGCTTAAGGAACAGGCCTGGTTTCCAGGGTGGTTTTGAGCAGAGGCTCAGAGTGAGTGGAGGCAACTGGATGGACGGACGGTGGCCTTTGTGGGATTATTTTTAGCGGTGAGAGCATTCAGGAAGGGAGGGGAAGCCCTGGAGGTATTGCAGTGTCAGTGCTGCAGCGTCAGAAGATCGGCGGCGCTGAGCTGCAGTGACGATCTCAGATGTTGTGTCTTTGCCTGCCACTATAAAGTGTTATGTCTGCTCCTCCTGCAGCTGACTTCAAGATAATTTTGGATTTCTCTGGAAGGGAAGGCTTCATGTGCTAGGTTAGGAATCCCTCTTGGTGGTCAGGGTGACCGGCTGCTGTGTCAGCCTGGCTTCTCATGCGGTTTTCTTTCTTACAGACCCTTTATACCTATCCTGAGAACTGGCGGGCGTTCAAAGCCCTTATCGCTGCCCAGTACAGTGGTGCCAAGATCAAAGTCCTCAGCACTCCCCCGCAGTTCCACTTTGGGCAGACCAACAAGACCCCAGAGTTCCTGAAGAAATTCCCAGTGGGAAAGGTGAGTCACTGACCCTGTCTTCTTCTCTGCCCGCCCTTTGGGTTTGTTCGTTCTTTGAGTCGGTGAATTGGGCTCAATGACTTGCTCTCTTCCCAGTTTTCCAGGCATTGGATTAACATGGTGGGCTGGGTTGCCGTTGTGTTGTTGTTGTTGTTGTTATTTTATGTCTTTGCTGGCCAATAGTTATAGCTCTCTGGATGGTCTCCAGCAGCACTGGAAATACAATATAAAAGTACAAATAGCAGTGAAACACCATAATAGTTTTAGTATAAAATTGAAGAGTCAGGTTTAAAGCCAAAACTCAATATGCCCTGGAGCAGTGATGCTTAGTTTTGAAAAAGGCCCTGTTTCCCCGTTGTCTGTGAGCAGGTGTGCAGCTCGCTGTCTTGTTGCCGGGCCCTGGTTGGGTCCAGGCTGAGGCCCAGGGAGCGCTCGTTGGCTCGGGAGCGCACCAGGGGCCCTGTCGTTGAAGTCTAGCACGCGGCCCAAAAAGAGCCGTTACGCTCCCTAGACACGGGAACACACAGTGTGCAGCATTGACATGGTCGCGCAGCGTGTGCAAAGCGATCTGCATGCAGTGTGTGTGATACTTGGAACGACGCTGCAACATCGGTCAGCGTTACGGGCCCTCAGACTGGCGCTCAGCTCCAGGAGTAGCTTCGGGAGCGTGTGCCGGCTGGCGGCAGAGGCAGAAACTGGCCCGAGGAGCCGCTCGGAGCTCAGGGCTCTTGGCAGCTGCCTCAGAGCAGCCTGCAAAGGGAAGGTGTGTGCTTTTTAAAATAAAGGGGACCGTTCCTGTGCTTGCTTTGTAGGCATTTGCATGCGTTTAATTATAGAGCCTGCCTTCGGTCGTGGTGCGGCCAGTTTGTTTAGGACTGGTGGGGTTTTAATGTTTGTAAGCCATTGGGGTGGTGTATTAACGCAGCCACTCAATTTTGGGAACTGTGGCTGACCTCGCACACTGATCCAGCTCAGCCGGGCTTCTGTGAATCCCAGGAGGTCAAGCATGGATACCTGCCTGTTTCCTCTGGAAGCTCTTCAGGTCTGCCACTCTGGCCTGCTGGTGAAAGGTCTCTTGGGCAGGGGGTGCAAACTGTCCGATGGGAAAGGAAAGAAAGGGAGTAAGGCTGAGCCGGATTCTTCCCAGACATATTAGTAAATTGGTCTGCTGGGAGATGTGGCTTTGTGGAGCCCAGCTCTTCACCCTCCCACCTGTGGCTGCGTCTGGGGAGCAGCGTTTGTGTCCCAAGGACTGGTGGAGGGCAGAGCGGCCGGCAGCCTCGAGCGCCATACGCTGGTTTCTGTGCAAGTTGGGATGCTGCGGCTCCCTCCGGATTGCCGCAGGCCTCTCTGTGTGGGGCAGGATCAGGCTCGGGCAGGGGCTCCCAGGCGCTGCTCTGGCACCCCTCACGTGGGACCCCTGCGAGGGTCTGGCTGGGAGCTCAGGAGAGGCTGTTTTTCTTCATAGGTGCCAGCCTTCGAAGCGGATGATGGGTTCTGCGTGTTTGAGAGCAATGCCATTGCACACTACGGTAATCGCCCTGATCTCCTGCCCGGGAGGGAGTGGTCGAGGCATCAGGAGCAGGGCCTGGCAAGCAGCTCCTGGACCCGCAGGGGCTGTGAGGTGGCTGGGTGTCCTGGCTGGGTGCCTGTCGGGGCTGGGGGCAGGGATTCTGGGCCTCCCTGTGCTGAAGCCTACAGGTGCCGAGCTCCTTGGCGGGCTGGATTCGAGCATGGATGGGCTCGTTGGTTTGCCCCGTCTGCTTCCTTGCCAACCAGCACTCAAGAAGGGCCCGTGCTGCTCTGCTGCGGACACCACTGTGCGGGAGCGGATCCGCTCACTCCAGGAGGCAGAGCGTGAGCAGCTCTTGGGCCCCCCCGGCTCGGTTCTGCTTCGCTCCAGACTCTGGCCCCTAACTTGCATCCTGTCGTGTCCGCTTGCCTCCTTGCCCCAGTCAGCAACGAAGAGCTGCGAGGAGCGTCCAAGGAGGCAGCTGCCCAGGTCATCCAGTGGGTGAGCTTCGCCGACAGCGACATCGTTCCCCCGGCGAGTACCTGGGTCTTCCCCACTCTTGGCATCATGCAGTATAACAAGCAGGTCAGTGGCCCGAGAGGGAAGCCCCTTTGTGCCGAGTCAGACTGCTTGGTAGTTTTGCCGTGAGTTGGGGCGCCCAGTGCCCTTTCGGTGCCATTGACTAGGGCTCCCAGGCGTCCCTCCCAGCAGGCGTCTGGGGATCGCAGGAGTTGTAGTCCAAGGCACCTGGAGGGCCTCGGCTTGTGTGTGTCTAATGCGATGCAGGGAGGCTCCCGTATCCACGTGAGATGGGTTCCAGGCTGCCATCAGGCGCCTGAAGTGTGGGTCGTCGCAAACACTATTCTGTGAGGTCGACCCTCGCATTCGTGGGGCGAGGGGCTCAGGACCCCTGTGAAAGTGGGAGTACCAGAAATGCGTCTAGGCCTCCCGCAAGTTGCTCCTCCTGCTGTGAGCCAGGTGGGGGTGGGGGGGCAGCCGGGAGGGAGAGCATTTCCTGTGGGGGTGGCTAACCCTAACCCTCTCCTTGCCTTTTTCTGTTTAAGTTTTTGGGGCAGTGGTCAACTGCAGTTAAGTGAAACCACCGACTGCAGTGGCAAATATGGGGGTTTCCTGTATGGTGTATGTAGTCCGATTATTATATAATCACCATAATCCTGTAACAAGGCGCTCCCAACAGCCCTTTCCCAGCCGGGCTAGAAGTCCTGCTGCGTCTTCCCAGGGGCCCGGCAGTTCTCATGGTGTTGCCCCAGGAAGCACGCTGGTGGCTGTTTTCCCTTTACCCCGAATGGAATTTGCTGGTGTAGCAGCATGCAGACCTGGGGCTCCATTTCGCGCTTGCAATGGCCTCAGCTGGGCTTCACGCGGGGACCTGCCCCGTGCTCTGCCTCGCGGTTGGTTTCCCACATTGATCTGGACATGCGTCTGTGCAGGGACCATCCCTTGCCTGCCTTCTGGAGGAGGAGTTTTGCCACCGCCGCCTCTCGGGAGTCAGCGCGAAATCGCTTTGCCTTTGCCCCCTTCCAGGCCACAGAGCTCGCCAAGGAGGAAGTGAAACGGATACTGGGCCTCCTCGACTCCCACCTGAAGACGAGGACGTTCCTGGTGGGCGAGCGTGTCACGCTGGCTGACATCACGGTCGTCTGCACCCTGCTCTGGCTGTACAAGCAGGTGGGCCGTCCGGCCGTCTTTCCGTTCCCCCTCCCCCGGCTGCGGGGAGTGCCCCTGGCGAAGGCTCCCTGGGGGCAGCGGCTGGTCGAAGTGCTGGCACTGTGCAGAGGGTGCCTCTGCGAGGCGTGAGCCGCTTCTCTGGCCAGTCACAGCTCTGCCTCGTCTGCTCTCACTTGCCCGTAAAGATGGGGGTTTGTGGGGCCAGGTGTGTGGCCAAGGAAGCGAGCGCCCCCCAGACATTTGGGGGCCAGGGCCCGCGTCTCTGGTGACCCACTGGCAGCTGAGAAGCCATGGAGAGCTGGCTCGCCTCTTCCTTTCTGCCCCTCGGCTGGCTGGGCCTCCAGCCCGGAGGCCAGACTTGGACGGAGTTAGCAGCCGGTGATGCCGAAGGGCAGGCTCCTAGCTTCGGTGTGGGGGACGTCGCACTTCTGAACGCTGCAAGGAGAGAAAACCCAGTGGGGCTTTGTCGTGCCTCGGACGAGGCTAGCATCTTCAGTTCTGTTTACTGAAGAACTTGCTGTTACTTGTGGGAAAGGGCCCGCTTTTTGTGCCGTTCTCCCTCCTCTTCTCTGCCACGGCTTCACTTCTGCTTTTAAACCAAGTGGAGTCACTCCCTATGGTCAAACTTGGGACCCTTTGGCCACACCAGAGAAAGGGGCAGGAGACAGACTTGGCGCTTGTCCACGTAGCTGTAAACAGTGGTTCAGTTACATGCAGGGTACATTGGCTAACACCCAGTGTTCATTCCATGCGGAACAGAATCCATCACTTGCATCGGTGTGGCTTGAGTGGCACTTGGCCGCAATGCACTCATTTCAGTGACTCTTCCCGTGCTGTACCTCTGTGTGAATACTTCGTGTGTATTTGCTAATTTCGGACACAGGCTCTTGCAGCTGAGGTCCGCTATGGGCACACATGTGCATCACCCAATCCGCTCTTCTCCTTTTTGTCTCCAGGTTTTGGAGCCGTCCTTCCGTCAAGCTTATGAAAATGTTAATCGTTGGTTTGTGACCTGCATAAACCAGCCACAGTTCAAGGCCGTCCTGGGAGAAGTGAAGCTGTGCGAGAAGATGGCACAGTTTGATGGTAAAGGCACAGGGAGCTCGTGCTAAATTGTTAGCCTTTAAATCTTTGTTAGTCTTTAAATTTTTCATGGATGCTCTTTTGCGGGGCCCTGATTTTTGTGGTTATTCTTGCCGTGGGTAAGTTTTCAGCTTTAGTGGCTGGCTCCTTCACTTAGAGACGAACATAAAAGAAGCGCTCTGAGTGGCAGAAGAGATGGCCAGGGCCTCACGACAGCGTGTTCTTGCAGGGAGACTGTGGCATCTGAGATTTGCCACAGTCAGATTGCTGCTCTGTGGCCGGGCAGTGGGATCCGAGGGTGGTATTCCTCAGACTCTCCCCCGAGACCTTGTTGCCTCAGGATGCCTAAGACAGACCTGGGAGCTCTCTGCCCGCAGGTCCTGCGCTTTGCCTCTGAATAGCTTCTCAGCTTGGCCGCTCTCCTTGTTCCTGCAGCCAAGAGGTTTGCTGAGAACCAGCCCAAGAAGGATGTGCCCAAGAAGGAGAAGCAGCCGAAGGAGGAGAAGAGGCCGGAGAGGAAGGAGGAGAAGAAGCCGGAGCCGGAGGAGGAGCTGGATGAGTGCGAGCAAGCTCTGGCGGCCGAGCCCAAATCCAAAGACCCCTTTGCTCACCTCCCCAAGAGGTAAGTCCACGGGATGGAGATGGAGGTGCTGCGGTGCCGCCTGGCAGCTTTCGGAGCGGGGCCCCACGTGCCAGGGAACGGGGTGCCGTCTCGGCCAAGCCTGGCTCCGCTCTGCTTGAAAGGCAGGGGGACCTTTTGCATCCATGTGGCCAAGGCCAGGCCTTTGGGCGCCCCTTCTCCTCCTCCCACAATCCCCGGTACTGTGTGTACTCGGAGCAGTTATGCTCCACTCGTCCCCCTGAAAGCAGGATGGGCTCCGCAGCCCCTGCAGCTCGGGATCTGCCTTCAGCACAGGAGCTTCTCAGAGTGGCCTTCGGCAGCCAGTTTCCCCGCAGCCCTGCTCCTCGTCTCGCGGGTGCCTGACGGCCAGGGTCTCTGGCTCCCGTCTCCAGTTGGAAGGGGGCTGCACGCTCCTCAGATGTGCAGAGTCGTGCCTTGGGGAACCCTGCTCTGGCATTAAGTAGAAAATGCTTCTGCGTCAACTTACCAAAAATAGGAGAGCTACTGGCTCACCTGGTCAAGAGGTCTCCTGGAGGGCAGAACCTCTGGGAGGATTCCGGATGGAACTGAAGTCCCAGCATTTTCCAGAGCTGCTGAAAGGAGCTTGAAACAAGCTTCCCAGTCTAAACTAGCCCAGCTGTTTGGAGACGGAGTTCTTCATTTTGTTCCTTCCTTCTCCCCTTCCTGTTTTTTTCTTGGCCACTTGAGCATTTCAGTGGATGTCAGGCGGAAAATAAATCTTGCAAGCAAAAGATGTGACACTCAACAGTAGCATCCGCGGAAAATAAAAGCAGCTGTTCGGTCAGCTCCACCCCAGATGGAAAATTTTAAGGATTGAACCTCTGGGTCAGGAAGGGGGGAATTGGCTGGTGCAGAAAACCCCACGGCTTGCTCCAGGCGAGCCTCAGCCAGGGGGGTGTTTCCCAAATCAAATAGGGTGGGTGAAAGGCAGCTTTCTGGATTCTCCCTGCCTGCCCACCGAAGAAGTTCGACTAGCCCCGGCCACACGGGACCTGAGCAGCAAGCCCAACCCTCTGGATTCTTCCTGGCCATGGCCCGGGAAGCCGCTCCCTCGCGCAGCCCCTGGCCAGAGGCGTCTGCAGCATCCGCTCTCGATGGGCAGCGCGGCAGCTGCTGCTAAACGAAAGCAGGTTTCCGCGTCCTCTGCAAAGCCACCCTTTCCTCCACTACGTGAGCCTGCTGTGGACAGTGGCGGACCGTTTGCTGCATGTGCCCCCCCCCCCCGGCGGGACATGTGCTACCCCCACAGAGGCCTCGGGTGGCAAACCTGGGCCCGGGGAGTGCCCCAGAGAAAGTGGGGCTCAGTCAGGGGCAGCGCTGTCTCGGGGACAGCATCTCATTCGACACGCCACCTCACCCGTCTGAGACGGGGCTGGCTTCAGGCAGGTGTGGGATCGCCTGGAGACGAGCGGCAGCGCCTGGGGGCCACCGGCCGTCTCTGGCTTCCTGCATGGAAGCTCTCCAGAACAGCCCGTCCTCGGCAGCCCTGCTCTGCCTCCGGATCCCCCGCGGGACGGATCCCCCTCGCAGCCGCTCTTCCTCCTCTGCCTCTGGCTTTGCCTTGCCGAGCGGGATGGCCTCCCCCGGGGAGCCGTGCCTGGGAGGGGGCAGCTGCGGGTCTGCCCTCTCAGCAGTGACCCTGGGCGGTCCTCCCGGCAGAGGCGGCCCTGCACGCTGGGGCTGCCTCTGCGCTGCCGGGAGCGGGCGCCAGGGGGCAGCAGAGCCCGCCTTTGGCTGCCCGCCCCGCCACGCCCTGCCACGTGCCTGGGGCAGCTGCTCTGCTTCCTTCCAGCCAGGGTGCGCGCGTTCCCCACTGGGTGGGTGGGAGGGAGGGAGGGAGGGAGGGGCAGGCCGGCCGGCCGTGAGTGTGGCCGAGGGGTCTTGTTTTGCAGAACTTGGGCTGGCGAGAAACGTGTGCAGGAGGGAGGGAGGGAGGGGGTGCTTCTGTTTTTAACCCAGGCCAGAAGCCGGGGCCCTCGGCAGCGTGTGTGCAGCTGCGAGGAGCAAGCCGGGGCGGGGGAGGCTGTGGGGGAGGCGGCCTTTGCTGCAGATCGCCAGCCGAGCCCGGGCACGTTCCCGTTGCGGCCGGCGCTCGAGGGCCCCGGTCACGGTCGTCTGTCGTAGGGGAGGCGAGGCGACGAAACCGCATCCAGGCCCGAGCCTGCTTGAAGGGGAGGGGTGCCTTCCCCGGGCAAAGCGCGCCCCATGACTGAGCCGCCGTCCCTCTGTGCCCCGCGCACAGCGTGTTTCGCAACTGCCGCGGGCAGCCGACGTTGGCCGCGTTGCAACAGTTCGGCCATTGCAGCAACGAGCCGCCCGGTGAGCCAGTGCCGTCTGGAACAGTGGCTGGCTTGTCTGTCGGGAGGAGCCGCCCCCGCCCCGCCGCTCCCTGCCAGGCACAACCAAGGGTGCTCTCGCTTCCAAATCCGGCGGGTCATGAGGCTGCGGCGCCTTTCACCCACATGATCCCCGCCTCCTGGAAGAACCAGTTCCAGGGAGAGCCTTGTGCTGGGCAGCACGGGAGGAGGAGAACTGGGGGAAAGGGGGCGGAAGGCCTGGTGGCCTGGAGAGGGGACCCCAACCCTTCAATTCCCAGTGGCTTGGGGCCAGATGACTGCGAGGGCTTTCTCTGCCTGCAGAAACGTGCCTGGGGGTCGGACCGTCCTGGGCGGCCTTGCTCTTTGCTCCAGCAGCAATGACGGCTCTGTTACAGGCTTCTGTTGGTGGTGGCCCCACACAGTCGCTCTCCTTTCCCCGAGTGCCCCACTGGCGCTCTGCTTGGCCTGGAACTGGTCTGTGGCCAGAGGGCTGGACTGGGAATCTTGACACCGCGCGCCATTTTCCCAGCGAGCCCGCTGGGGTGCTTCCGGCCAGTCGCTCCATCTCAGGTCAACCTCACAGGGCTGTCGCAAGGATGAAAACGGGGGGGGGGCAAATGCGAGGCGGTCTTGGGTTCCTCGCCGGAGGAAAGAGGACGCAGGCGCAGTGAAATGCGTCCGGGATTCCTGCGTCCGAGGGTCTGGGGCCGTCGGGGCTGTGCTGGTCCATCCACCGTTGCGGCCATGCCCTTCGCAAGCGCTGGCTGGAAAGGCCCCATGGCGATGGAGGCCGAGCAGGTGACCTGCCGCGGAGGCGCGAACGGTGCCTCCCCTGGGCAGAGCGAGCAGTGGCGCCCGTCTGTTTTCGCTGCAGCACCTTCGTCATGGACGAGTTCAAGCGGAAGTACTCCAACGAAGACACGGCCACCGTGGCTCTGCCCCACTTCTGGGAGCACTTTGACAAGGAGGGCTGGTCCATCTGGTACGCGGAGTACCGCTTCCCCGAAGAGCTGGCACAGACCTTCATGAGCTGCAATCTGATCACGGGTGAGGCCGCCCGCCCCCTCGTCCCCCGCCCTCCCCTCAGGCTTGGTCGCTCGGCCGGACCCAGCAGCAGCAGCTTGTCCCTCTTCCCGCAGGCATGTTCCAGCGCCTGGACAAGCTCCGCAAGAACGCCTTTGCATCCGTCATCCTCTTCGGCACCAACAACGATAGCAGCATCTCCGGCGTCTGGGTCTTCCGGGGGCAAGAGCTGGCCTTTCCGGTGAGTCGGGGCTCCATCATCTTGGGGCACGGGCGTGTGAATGTGCATAAACTGGCAGAAACCCAGGAGTGGGGAAGCTTCAGGCCAGTGTTTGTTTATTAGATTTATACCCCACTTTTTTTCTTGCAGAGAGCTCAAAGTGGCTTCCTCTCCCTGCCCCACCACAGCCCTGTGAGATGGGGCTTTCCCCCTCGGGCTGTTGTGGAAGAAGCCGATTAAAATGGACAAGGAGAGCCTCCCTCGAGGCTTTTCACAGCCCCTCTGAGCTTCAGTCTGGCATTGTCTTTCCAGAAGCAGTTGGGAAAAATAGCCATTTATATGCCAGGTGGGGAAGCAGTCCCAGCCAGTGCCCAGAGCAAGCAGTCATGAGCTTTGTCAGCATTTGTGCACCCTTTCCTGACCGACAGAGAAAGACTTGTCTGAACGAGGGGCCAGAGCTTCCGCTCGCTTTGGTGGAGGTGCAGTTCTGGCGAGCGGAGGACATCCTTCCCATCTTGCGCAGCCGGCGCTCCCGTGGGAGGGAAATTGCGTTCCTGATATCCGCTGCACGTTGGTTCCCGCAGCCGGCTCAGGCGGCCAAGTCGCTGCAGCCTGGGAGTGAAACAGAGCCACCTTGCAGCAGGTCATGGCCTTGGCTTCTTGGGGGACTTCCTGGAAATCCGACGCATGGAAATGTGTCGACTGCACCAGGGAAAGCCGCTTGCTTAAATGCGCCTGCCCGGGGCTGGTGGGCCATTCGTGACCCCCGGCAGGTTTTGGTCTGCAGTTCTCCTGCACCCTCGTGCTGGCTGGGCTGGGTGGGGCTTCCAGGCCAAGACCATTGGGGGCTGCCAGTTGCCCACCCTCACGGGGGAGGGTCTCAGCAGCAGCCTGACCGCTTGTTGCGAGTCGAGGGGCAAGAGTAGTTGAGAGACTGCACGTATGTGCGTGTGGAACGCTGCGGGTGCCGGCACAGGAGCCCGGAGCCCAGCAGGCAGGGGGCGGGCGCCTGTCCGTGCCGCCTGTTCCCTGGCCAGGGCAGCGCCTCCCGTTCTGAGCTCCCTGGGGCCCTGAAGGGAGCCTGCGATCTCACGGGCTGGGGTTGCACAGCCCCCTTCCGTTGCCGCCCGCGTCTCCTGCATCGCCGTTGGGACACCTGCAGGCTCGGCCGCGTGTCGGCCATTGCTCCTCGTTGGTAAGAACAAAGGGGAGTCCTGGGCCCCCTCAGACCTGCGTGCGCTTTTACCGTGGCCTCGCCTTCCCCGAGAGTCTCCGCCGCCCCAAGCCGAGTGCCTAGCAGCCACTGAGCTGGCCTGGCGTGTGTCCCCCACCTGTCCTGACCTGCCTCTCCTGCCGTTCGCAGCTGAGCCCCGACTGGCAGGTGGATTACGAGTCTTACACCTGGAGGAAGCTGTGTCCGGAGAGCGAGGAGTGCAAGACGCTGGTGAAGGAGTACTTCATGTGGGAGGGGGCGTTCGCGCACGTCGGCAAAGCCGTCAACCAGGGCAAGATTTTCAAGTGACGGCCGGCGGGGAGCTGCCACGGGACGTGAGCCTTCCGAGGGACAGATCTCTGGAGCGGCAGCCGCAGCTAAGGGTGGGAACGACTCGAGCAGGAGAAGAGACTCTGTGACGTTTAGGAGTGAATTAAACGCTCGCGCGTGCTAGTCCTGTTCCTCTCCTGTCCGTCTGTTCTCAAGCGCAACGGGCACGCCGGCGCTGCCCGTCTCCCCTGCCCCCCGTAAGTGGGGCCAGGGGGCTGTGGCAGCAAAGGCCGTTCGGCCGGGCGGAAGCTTCCTGGCCGAGCCAAGCAGCGACCTGGCGGTTCTCGGCTTCCGGAACTCCCCCGGCCTTCTCCCGGCTGCTCCTGCTCCGCGGGAGCCTCATCGCACCAGGCTGCTCAGGAGCAGCGTCTGCATCTGCCCCACAGGTTCCTGGGGGCAGGGGAGCCGCCACTGCAACGGCCCTGCACCCCCATGCTGAGCAAATTGGCCACAGGAGGCGGACACGGAGGAAGTGGGGGGAAGCAGCCCGCGTGGGCGTCGGGAGACTTGGGCCCCCTCCTCTGCGAGCGCAGTCCGGGCCCCGCGTCAGCCCGTGCTGGTGCGCGCAGCCGCTTCTGCGGGGCCGCGGCGTCGCTCGGCCCCGGGGGAGGTGGCGGGGCCGCCAGGTGAGAGCTGCCTGCAGCTGGGCTGGGCCGCACCCTCAGGCTGGCCAGGGTTGGTGGGGCCGGCAGCCGTTCGCCAGGGTGACGGGTGGGAGGTGTCTCCGTCACCGCCTCCCTGGGCCGCGTGACCGAGCCTGGTGCCTCCCGCAGGCGAGGCTGCGTTCGGCCGCCCGTCCAGAGCCGGCCCGCTGTTGTCTGCCGGAGCCGTGGCCTCACGAAAGCCGTGGGCTCGGGGGCACTCGCCTTGCGGTCCGCACGGGTGTGCTCAGCCCAGCCTTCGGTGGGGTGGCGGGTTTGGAGCCCTGCCTCTCTGCTGAGGCTCTTCATGGGAGGCAGAGGGACGCGGAAACATGGCGTGGGGTGTTGCTCTCTTCCCCCAACTCAGCTCCTTTAATCTGCTGATGTAAAAGCAAAGAACAGCCCCACACCTCCTATATTGATTCAGGCCTCGCCTAAGCAAACAAGAGAGGTGATTATCAGAGTACAGCTGGCTGCCCTGTCTGGGTGGACAAGGGATAAACAGTTTAGATATTCCCCGCCTGCAATTGGTAGAGGTCAAGCAGTGGATCCCCCAGCAATCGGGAAGGGGCATGGCCCTTCCCCGCGTTGAGAGCGCCTTATCCTAATCTGGTGAAACACAGCAAGGCCCGGAATGTTGCGTTGGTGCCTCTTACTGCGTCCGTGCATGGCGTCTTGATTTTTTTAACAAGTTTCTGGCCCTCATGGCATTTCAGGAAGCTGCAGTGAGGCTTGCTCGAGGCAGCCGTCGTGCCCGTAGGGATGCGTTGCGTGAGTAGCAGTGCTTGCAGAATGGCCCCAGGTTAGAAATGGGCTCTGCAACGGAGAGAGCGGAGATCTGTCTTTAAACCGGTGTTGCATGCAGGTTGGATCACTTACACTCAGCTCTCCACATTTGCAGGGCTTACGGGCGCAAGACCCCTGTGGAAGTGGAAAACCCCCAAATATCTGTAGCCCTCACCAGTGTCGCCTCTTTGCAGTGAGGAGATGCTGGCCAGATTTCCCTCTGGATGGGCGTGGCAGGAAGATCTTTTTCGGAGGTCTTCCTCTCTCCCCTTTCACTTCCTCTCCATGGTGATCACAATTTTCTGCAGTAACTTTTAAAAATTCATGGGCTTCACAGGAATTTGTTCCTCAAGCATGGGGTTGTTCACAACTCGGGGATGGCCTGTCTGCTCCATGCAGGACAGCAGACTGCTTGGGAGTTTGATCCGGGACTTGTTTTCATTTATTTCATGTAAAGCTTTCATATCCTGCCCTTCACAATGTCTCAGGGTGGTAATACAATAAGATAAATAAGCTGGATGCCCCCCAGGATCGTATTCTTACTCTCCAAGATCCTGGGCAAGAACCAGATCGAGCTGGATGGAGGCCAGTTGGTTCTCGGCCTGGAGAGCATCCGTTGCTCCGTTTTTCAGCGACCGCCTTCCCTCGCTCACAGCAAGGTACTGGTTGCTGTGGGCCGATTCCCCAACGCCCACTATTCTCAGAGCTGGCCGCCTCTGCCCGACGCAGGGCAAGTCCTTCCCTGTTGCAAGCATCAAGGGAACTTCCACCTGGTGCTTTCCAGGGGTGCTGCAGGAAGCTATGGCGGGTCCTGCAGACAGCAACTCCCCCGTAGGCCTTTGCAAAAGGCTGCCTTAGCTGGTCCCGGGCTTGCGTCTGGGGGCACATCCGGAGCTCCGCAGGCCTGGGGCTGGTGGCCCAAGCTTGGCGGGGAGACGGCACGGAGCCACTGGGAGAATGAATCGGGCAGCCAGGCACCTGCCCTCTCTGGTTCAGGAGCAGGTCCCGGCTGCGGCCCGCTCTCCTCCCTTCCGCTTCACCGGCCCGAGTTGGCCGCCCCTCCTCACTGGGCTGCTGCGGTACCTGCAGTGGGTTTTTCCGGCATGGTGGCTTGGTGCCGTGGGTGGGGAGGCTGGGGGGAGGGGGTCGCGGCTTAGGCTAATTGCCTCCATCTGGCTTCTTGGGGGCCCTCAGGAAGAGTGAATCATGCAGGCATCCTGCGAGCGGGTGGGGCTTGGCCACGGGCAGCGCTGTGTTTATCGTCCGGAGCCAAGCGCAAGGGTGGGAGGAGGCCGGGAGCAGAGCCCCGGAACGAGCATCCGGCGGGCGTCCGGCCTCCCTCGGCCTGCCCTCCCACCCGCCTTTTTCGCCTGCAGTTGCGATCGGCCGGTTGGTGCTGCAAAGCACCGTGGAGGGCCTGCCGTGCGCAGGATTTCTCACATGGGTGCATGGCTGCACAGAAGCAAGAGGAATTCCAGGAATACAGCAGACCAAAAGAATAAGCAGCCGTCACAAAGCACAAGGGATGCGTATAGATCCGCTAAAGCCATGCAAATTACCCATCCGATCAAGTCCTTCCTCCCTGGAGGAGCTGGGATCAAACCGGCAGCCTGTGCGTGCAAAGCACGGGTGCCCCCAGCGGCCTCTCTCCTTGCAAGGGCCCTACGGGGTGGTCCTAGATGAAGGATTTGCCATCCGAGGGGAGGCACACGTTCTTTCACCAGCCACGTTGAGGCTCAACACCACCCCTGAGAAGCTGTCTGGGACTCCCAGCTCCAAGCCTTCCTGAGCAGGCCCATGCTGGGGAGTGGAAGTCCCAAAGGTCTGGAAATGCAGGGGAAAGGCCTAGGGTTGGCCTTGGTAAGCGACCTTGGGCTGGGGCACATGCTGCCCAGCAGAGGAAGTAGAGGAGAAACACTCGTGTGCAAAGGACCTGCTTTCCTGTCGTGGAGTGGCTTGTCCTTAATAAGATCAGATCCTCCATCCCGTTCACAGCCAAGCTGGCCTTGGATCGGCACAGACTTTCTGTCAGGTGAGATGCTTAGCTTCCCAGCAGGCAGAGTTTCTCGGAGATGGCCTCGACATTCCCCATCTCCGCCCAGGGAATGCCTATCCTCGTTTCCTCCTTGCCCAGCACTTTTGATGGTTTTCAAGGATCCGTGCTGTGTGCAACCTTATTGCTTCCTGCTTCTTCAGTCGTAAATATTATTACCCGTTTCAGGAGGTCCAGTTGCAACAAACCCCAAAACAGGATGGATAAAATTATGGCTTTGTCTGGGTAGATCAGAGGGATGTGGAGTGGTGGGGCATTCGATAACGAGAAAGCAAGAGCGGTGGATTAAGTGAGGCTGCATCGCTTCATGTCCCAGGGCGTCTTGGCTTGCTGTGAAAGAAATCCTCTGGTGGTGGAGCATTAAAATACCGGGAGGTTGGGTTTAGGGGGCGGAGTGGCAGCAGCAAATACGGGCACGGGTGCGTAGCTGGATCACAAATTCCCTGCTGAAGCTTTTAACATCTTGCAGCCATGAATTCTGTGGCTGGTTCTGGAATCTGGGCTCTCGGCCAGATGTAGTTGGCAGAACTTCTGCTCCATGTTCAAGCCCCTGGAGAGCGAGGGAGATCTGAACCTGGGATGGTCAGGGTGAAACCCTGAGCCAGCTTCGCTTCTGCCTTGCAAGAGCTGCCTCCTGACAACCCAGGTTTGCTCCCCTTGCGGAAAGCGAGTGGGGTGCTTAAAAGAGGGGCGGCAGCTGGAGAGACACATCTGGAATTCATCTTCCGCATTCAGCGGCTGCCACACCCAGGCATGCTCCCTGCGTGTGACAGAGATCTGCCTCTGACTCATGATCTGGGGGCGGGCGGGGGAGGCACAGGCCTAACTAGCTGGGTCGGATCCCTCTCTCCTCCTCCCGCCATCTCCCAAGAAGTTTGCATCCCACATCTTGCAGCTCGACTCGTAACTGTGAGCTTGGCGCAACTTAGGCAGCTGGTGGAAAGGGGTTTCTATCCTCTCTGCCCCCGGACACTTCCCCACCACAACCACAATCTGTCTTCCCCCCACCCCCCGGACACTTCCCCACCGCAACCACAATCCTGCCCCACCTCCCGTTATGTTGGGATCTTCAGCACGTCCAGCGTGGTGGGAGCCCTCGGAGATGCCCTCGGAGAGGTCAACGTGGGAGTCTTTACAGAAAGTTGCCCCCCCTAAGAAATCCCATGGGTGCCAAGTCCAGCATCTCCCCCCCCCCCCACACACACACACTTTAAAGTGCAGCTGAAATTGGCTTGCAGGGCAGCCGTTCGGGGAGGTGTGCGCTATAATAATGCCGGCGAGTGTCGCGGAAGGGAGATGCTGCAAGGACGACCGAGGAGGAGAAATGAGCAAGAAGGAAGAGCTGAGCGGCGACCGGGTATAATGCAGAAGGGGAAGCCGAGGCTTGCTGGAGAGAGAGGGAATTGATTGGAAATGGATCGGGCATTGGGAATTGACTGGGAATTTCTCTGAGTCGGGCCATGCGCCTTCTTGCTGGCAGGAGGGCTTCCGGCTCGCCCTCGGAGGTGCTGTGGCGTCCCGCCTGCACCGCGCGGCCTCCGGTGAGGCGGTGACTGGGCAAACGCGGCATCCGGCCCGGTGACTCAACTCGTGCAGCCCCGGTTGCCGCGGCGACGCAGCCGCGGGGAAGGATGTCTTACTCA